ATAATGGATATAATTTTTCCCCCCCCCCCCCCCAAGTAATTTAAAAAGGAAGCGTATTTATGGAAATGTTACACTTGGAAAAACAAAGCAATTAGCTCACAAAATTAATAGTAATTTGAAAAAGAAAAAAAAAAGCGAAGACTCTTATTCTAATTCATAAAAATATAAAGTGAGCTTGGAATATAGCAAACACATTACAGTGTGGTTAGTGTGTTGGAAAAGCATGGCATGACATTTCGGGGGAATTACAAAAACATCTCTATAATTCGTTCCAGGTTGTCCCGCAGTGTTATCAAGACAAGCGGCTTCTCAGTACCTCTGATTGGCAACTTCTTCTCCAGAAGTTATTAAATATACTCAGCAATTATCACTGTCATTATTTCAGGAATACAATAAAGGATTGTGATTACAGTCGCACCGTATTTAACAACTTGTTGTATTGCAGTTTTACAAGTTTGCATGCGCACAGCCCTCATTTTGTGTTGTCATGCATGTTTGCCACTGAAGTAGGCACCAAAACAAACATATTTTTTCACATTTGACTTTTTTGGTAATTTGATTTGAGATTTCTGAATTCAAACAAACACGTTGCAATTCTGTTTTGTGTCTCTAGTGGCTCAGATTATACACCTTTTAAAAAAAATTAAAAAATAAATAAAAATTGATTATTGTTAATGCTCATGTTTTTTTTTCTTCCCCCAACAAAAACTTGTTCTGCAGAAAAATCCCTTGGATTAACATCTACGCAGAGGTGAACCATGAGAAAGAGCAGGAGATGATCAGTACGGTGGGCCAGAATGACGCCACACCAAAAATCACCCTGAATGAGTTCTCCACCCAGAAAGAACTGATGGAGAAAGAGCTGGAGGCCTGTGCCAAACGTGAGTGACATTTTTAGAAAATTAAAAATTTATATTTATAACATAAAACTTCAGAGAAAAGCCCATTTATATATATATATAATTAAATTAAGATTTATTAAGATATTAAATTAAATTAAATTAAGATTTAATTTAATATATATGTAATCCGCAGAATGCAATCTATAATTTATGTAAAATTAAAAAAAAAGTTTTCTGTAGAAAAGAGCAAAAGCTTGTCTGATATTGCACATGACAAAAGATGCTAAAGTAGGATTGGTCAGTAATGTTTTTAAGGTGGAGCTTAGTGAACATAATACCAACTTTTCCCAGATACATCTCTGAATAATTGTATTTTTCTAGTATTCTAAGTCTGAGTAGTTTTCAAGTAGAAATGACATGATAGGAAAAGTTTTTTTTTTTTTTCAGCCTCAGGACTGTTTGAGTCACAAACCTGCGTGCTATCATAAAACTACTCTTGCGGTGGCAAGCTTTGTGTTTTACACTAAAATATGAATCATTCAGCTTTTAGAATTACACAGTGAAAACCATCAGACCAAAAAAACAGCCTTTGAAATCAAGAGAGTTTATAATCGGACACATAATGCATGCTAATGCGAACTATCTACAGTGGGCCCAAGTGTCCTTATTTCCCAAGTGCATGCGTCTGTGATCATGTAATTGCTTAATAACTGCAAATTAATATTTAATTGGTGCTGTTAAGCAGTGATTATAAGAGAGCACTGATTAAACTATAAAAGGGGTCAAATTGGGGTCAGTGTGATAACAACAACTGTGATGAATAAACATGCAACATTGGTGCCACGCAGAAAATAAATCCCACCACTCTTTCTGCGGGTGTTTAATAGGAGGATGACATGGTTCAGTTTCTAGCCTGCTTTACATTCATTTCACTTGCATTCATGAGGATAAATATTTAATGACTCTAATGCTGAAAACATCTAGTTTGTTCATTTATACTTGAGTAATATATAGTTGAGCGTATAATCAAGCATTTTAAGATAACATAAAATGGCATTCACTATGCATTTAACTTCTGTAATGTTATGCATTTCAAAGAAAACCATTTATCCAACTTGAAGTCATGTTGAGACTTGATTTTATCCATTGAGATTTCACTGAATAGTGAAAAGTAGGTCTGGGTTGAAGAAAAGTCGTTTCAGGAAATTATTTAAATTAAAAGCAAGATTATTAAATAAGTTCTGAGTAATCATCCTGGGACATGTGTTAAGAAAATGAATACAGACAATTGTGTTTGTTGAAGCAGAATCTATTTTGAAGGCTAATGTGTCATTTCTGTGTTTTCGGCGAGTAGGCGGTGTGATCAACACCTGTGAAAGCACAAGGGAGATCCCGAACTGCACGAGTGTCTGAAGACATCAAGAAAGAAGGCGGAGGCGTATTGTAATAATGTGTACAGAGGTATCACAATTTTAAAGGTTGACAGTTTTCCTTTATGCTTTTTTTGTAATTTCAAAACACTGTCATTGTTAATAGTTTTCTAAGGAGCTCAGATTTGCATGGGTGTCTTGTTTGTTACGATCTGTGTGGAAAATAAGAATAGATTTAACTACTGTACAAGTCACTGAAAAAATGCTCGGTTGAGAAATTAGGATTATTTACCAACATTTGAAATTCCAAAAATTTTGTTCTGAATGTTACAGAACAGTATGCGGAATGGAAAGTTGGGGGGAAAGTCATTTTCCCGGTGCATTTTTTAATTATATTTGTCAGTTTATCAGTTTGACATTGTGGGGGGGGGGAAATATAAATAAACATTTTTATATTTGTCATAACTTGAACTGAGGGAACAAAATTGCAGCTGAAGCATGCAAAAAAAGCCAACAGTGTTTATATCCCTCTCTATATTACAGCTTTGCCTTCTTCATGTAAGCAGTCCTGCTCTGGAATCTTCTAAATTGGTGGTTGTTGAAACAACTTTTAATTACACTTTTATCGCACTTATCAAGCCTTCGTCTAAAGGCAAAGAGATATGGACTAAGGCTACGTTTACACGACAACGATGTAGTCAAAAACAGAAACGTTTTTCCCTTGCATTTTTAAAAAGTTTCACGTATACACGACAACGTTTTCAAAACGATTCGCATTTACATATATCCGCGAAAATAGCCAAAAATGCTGTATTACGTATGCCAGGCCAGTAGTTGGCACTGTCACCTTGTTAGTAAACAGTACCTGTAGGGAAGTGACGATTATATGATGTATATGATGCGTCTCCGCTGTTGGTTGTAATATTGGTGAAGTAAATCCACACTTTGCTGAAGAAGCGTTAGCAAACTTGAGCAGCAACAACAGTACCATATACTTCGTCATTGTTGTGTATGTTTGTTCGCGCTTGCCTTTAAAATCGACACGTACTGTGCATGTCTACATACCTAACACGTACGACGCATGCGCATGACGTCACCGTTTTCAAAGATTCCAGTTTTGGGTGTTTACACGGAAACGATAACAGCAGCGTTTTCAAAAACTTGCACTTTGAAACCCATTTTCAAAAATATGCATTTACAGTCCCCAAAACAACATTGTCGTGTAAACGAACAGGCACAACGCATAAAAAGTTTCCCGTTTTTGACTGAAAACGTTGTCGTGTAAACGGCCCCTAAAATGTGAATTTTTCAGTCATGAAGTGTGATACCTTTCCAAAAGCACTGTGATAAAATGTCCATTTGAAGGCAAGCTTTTTGTACTAATATAAAACGGGAATATGCACTATCTATTAAGAACCACGTCTCTATAGTAAAGCTTTTTTTTGGAGCTCGAACTTAGGTAAAATCCATGAAATATCAAACACTGAGAATGTTTTGTGGAATAAATCTCTTGATATACGAACACAATAGAGCTTGATATCTTTCTGGAAAATGTTATACAATTTAACGTTAATTCTAACATACCTTCAGCTAAATGTAATTTATTGTAAGCTCCTCAAATATATACCGTCCGTGTGCATTCCATGAGTTTTTTTTTTTTACATTCAGCTTGCTCTTTTGACTTTTTTTTGTAGATAAATGGCTTACAGAATCATTTTGCTTCATAAGTGAATGCCTTACAAATAAGAATGCCTTTTGAATAATGTGTATTCATCATTTAGAATTGAAAATTAATTTATAACAGTTTAACAAAGTGAACACAGCCATTTATTTATTTATTTTTATAATTTTTTTTTTTTGCACACATTTTTAAAGTGTCTCATCTCCCAGGGATTGAAAAAAAAACATTGAACTGTACAATATATAAGTTTTAATTTCTTTGTATATACAGTGAGTGTATTTCATTTATACTGTAAATATAATAGTGAAGACTGAAGTTCACTGGACACAGTCTGCTATACATTTCAGAAAGAGGGTGTTACGAATCCAAACAGTGATTCATTGATGTGCTGTAGATAAGCCAGTGCTGCAAATAGTTTTTTTTATTCATCCATTGTACACACACAAAAAAAGAGTAAAGACGTATTGCATATGCTTCAATGTTGCCATTTTGGATTTTGACCTCAGATTTAAAGTTGAACCTATAGAGAGCAGTGTTTCGGTATATGGTTAGACATTTTGTATTGGAGTTGATTGCCTGTGTCACACAAAATGAATATAATTCATGAATACTAAGCAGATGGTTTCTTAGATTCCATTGTAAATGTCAATGTATAGCAATATATCAGAATATTAGTGACTTTGGCCAAAATAACTGCCCAAGCAATTAATTCCTGTTCTACTCAATTAGTGACATATTACAAACCAAAACATTGTGTTTCATCATTTCCATGTAAAATATATGTTTTTATGAATGCAGAGCTCTATTCAAATATATTTTTTTGCTGTGTGAAACAGAACAATCAGATGTTATATTATTAAAACAAGTAAATTATGAAACTAAAAATCAAAATGGGTAGGTACCTCAGTATTTCTTTTTAACTGGTAATAAACTAGTGTTAACAAGTGTTGAAATCATTGTATTTTTATTTCTATCATTTTAAATAACGCATGCACCATACATTAATTGTCTGTTTTGAAGCTTAGTGAGCTGCCTTAAACAGGACCTTTGTTTTGAAACTGCCTACTTAGGCAGCATCTGTGTGTGTCATAAAATAGTGCTCCTCACGTGAACAGTGACACTCTAATAAGCTTTTTTAAAAAAAGCATAGCGCACACAATTATTATTATTAGATTGAAATAAGAATTGAATCGCTTATATTCATAATAACATCAATGTGGGCTGAGAATTTATTCCCCAAAAATCATTTACCCCCGGTTCCACAGACAAGGCTTAATTAAGCCTAGTCCCAGACTAAAGTGTAAATCTGAGCTGTTTTAACTGAAAGAAACTTGCACTGACTGATTTTAAAATATATCAGTGCCTTTGTTTTGTCTCAAGATGCACACCAGTAATGTTTTTTCTAAGGCATGTTAATAAAAATTACTTAAATTTCTTAATTGAACAATGGCCTAATCCTGGCTTAGTCTAAGCCCTGTCTGTGAAACCGGGCCTTAAAGTCACTATTGTGTTAAATGAGAAAAGCATTGAATAGACATTATAAAAATGCAGCTTTAGAAAGAAATATTTTGATGCAACATATAATTTATTACACTTGAATTTTTAAGGCTACAATGTGGCATAACATTGTTTTCAGAAGCTGTAGCATTTAGGTATATTTACGGTTCATAGGTGCCATGAATGCATTTACACTGCTATTGGAATTGCATGAATAATGCTATGAGATACATTTTTAAATGGGCATTAATGGGTTTAAAATATTGAAATATGAAATTATTATTATTTTAAATGTAATTATACTGTAAATAATGAAACTGTGACTGCCAGAAATAAGGGAGTCGTTACATTTAGAAACAAAGCAAGTGACAGTCTTTGCGTTGGGAGCACTATGATGCCTTAAAATGCTGCCTACCTAGGCAGCTAACTAGGTTTTGGAACAGATATCGCATATTATTCTGTTTATTTTGATCATCTCAGTCCCAATTGTTTACTGATATTCCAGCCAGACTAACCACAACTTAACATGTACTATTGTATGTTCTGATTTCTATCCAATATGACCTCATCTTTCAAATTTAGATCTTCTAGAAGAATCTGACACACCAACTTCTGTTTCACCACAATATTTGAGGTATTTCACAGAAGAGTTTAAGCCATGTGCACTGGGCTATTATTCAAATGTTTGGGGCCAGTACGATTTTATTTCTTTTATTTTTTTTAAAGAAATTAACAATTTTATTGAGCAGGCATGCATTAAATTATGATCGAAAGTGACAGTAAAGACACAAAAAAATATTAAGCAGCACAATTCTTTTTAACATTTATCATAATAAGAAATGTTAAGTAAGCATCAATTCAGTATATTACATTTTTTGAAGAGCCATGTGGCGCTCAAGACTGAAGTAATGATGCTGAAAAATCAGCTTTCATATCAAAGGAATAAATTACATTTTAAAATATTTTCAAATAAAATAAAACTATAAAAATCTAATAATATTTGGTGAGCATCAGAGACTTTTTTCAAAAACAAATCAATACAGAAATCCTCCCGACTCCAACCTTTCAAACTGTAGAGTAAGTGCATATTCAAGTCTACAGATCTAGGCCAAATTTGCATACATTTTAGGGTAGTTAACTTGCCATTTTTTCCCCTTTTTATCGACTCTAGAGCCGCTGAAAACAACTTTGCATTTGTAAACGTGAGGATAGTCTCTCCAGATGCTTTACACATACGCTTATCCTCCATAAAGGAACTGAAAATGGGCTACAGAGACTGGTTTAATGCATGACGTCTGCACAGTCTAAAGCTGTGTGACATGAAACAGTGTTTTACTCTTAATCTGGACTTCTCAGAGGCTCTACAGTGTGCTGAAGTCAGCATGCAATTACACCAGCACGGGCCCTGAGCCGAGGGAACGGGGGAAAGCTGCTACTTTACCATCCTGTCGCACACACTCTCATTAACACTCGCAGGTTAGCTTAGCGTCCCGCTTTATCTCTACTAGTCACAGTTGTTGTCTCAGTCTAATAGTGACATTGATTTTTTTTTGTTTACTCATATCTTTAGTCCCCCACTCACCTAAATCTAACAATGTGTCCTTAAAAAAGCCCAAAGCAGAAAATCAACAAGAGATAAAGCTCAGATGTTCTCTAAAGATGTTTTGTTGTTCCCTTTTGATGTGGGCTTTGATGCACCCACACTCAAAAAAGGCCTACATTTAAGATTTATGTATTTGAATTTCTTATAAATTTTAGAAACCATTTGTATCACACAGTTTTAACAAACTAATGAACTTAATATGATACATATGTATTAGTCTACATAAATAAATCAGGTTTGTGTAATAGTACCAATAAACTAAATGTGTTTTAAATACACAATAAGCAGGTTTACACTTTAAAAAAATGGCAAATTCAAATCATGAAAACATGTTTTTACATTATTTTAGGTTATTATTATTTTAAGTTTCAACTTTTAAAAATAAGTCATACACGATTCAATTATTGTTTTTTTTTAGTCAGTTCAATG